GCACTGGGAGCGGGGAGGGCTCAACAGAGGAACAATGGATACCACTGACACTTCTGGATAGAGCAAGTCTTCCCTCAGCCCTCACTCCAACAACTCAGTGTCCCCCTGTAAGTCCCTGGTGCACCTGCGCAGCTGAACTGGTGCTGGTGCTCAGAGCAAGCAGGTCTGTCTCACTGCAAATGTCTGCTTGTGGACAGGGCCCTTTACGAGGTGGCTGCCACAGCCTCTGTACCACTCAGCAGCTAGGGACCGGACAGCTTAGGGTCCTCACGCTGTCCTACCTTCTGCCGTTGCAGAGTGATTTCTTAGTTCTCTTCCTAATTGTATGGCTTGTTCGTCCAGATCCCAGGCAATTTTCCTTGCTGTTTGCTCTTTGTTTCTGTCACAACTTTAATTTGGTCACCAGAGGGGTGAACAGAGCCTCTATCATCTATGCCATTTTTTTCATCCTCTAATTACTTTTTTAAAATTAAAATAAATTAATTGTAATTGTGGCAAAATACACGTACTATAAAATTTACCATCTTAACCATTTTTAAGTGTAAAGTTCAATACTGTTAAGTATATACACATTGTTGTACAATCAATGTTCAGAACTTTTTCATTTTGCAAAACTGAAATGCTTCACCTGTTAAACAACAACACTCCATTTCCCTTTCCCCTCAGCCTTGGAAACCACCATTCTTTGTTTCTATAAATTTGACTTTAAGTGGAAACATAGTATTTACCTTTTTATGACTGGCTTATTTCACTTAGCATAATGTCTTAAGGTTAATACCTGCAGCATGTGTCAGAATTTCCTTTGTTTTTAAGGCTGAATAATGTTTCATTGTATGTGTATACCACATTTTGTTTATCCATTCACGTATCAATGGACACTTGAGTTGCTTCTACCTCTTGGCTACTACGAGTAATGCTGCTATGAATATAGGTGTACAAATATTTCTTAAGGAATCTGCTTTCAATTCTTTTGGATATATACCCAGAAGAATTGCTGAATCACATGGTAATTCTATTTTTAATATTTATACTGTTTACATTTTTTACAGTTGACTGTCAATGTTATTTTATATTAGTTTCAGATGTATAGCATAGTGGTTAGACCTTTACATAATTTACTATTTTCAGTTTTTGAGGAACCTGCCATACTGTTTTCCACAGTGGCTGCACCATTTTATATTTCCACCAACAGTGCATAAGTGTTCTAATTTTTCACATCCTCACCAATATTTGTTATTTTGGTTTTTTTTTAAAGTAGCCATCTTAATGGGTGTGAAGTGAAATCTCATTGTGATTTTGATTTGTACTTCCCTAATAATTAGTTATGTTAAGTTTTTTTCATATGCCAGTTGGCCATTTGTATATCTTTTTTGAATGTCTGTTCAAGTCTTATGCTCATTTTTGAAATGGAGTTTTTTTGATGTTGTAAGGGTTGTATATATATTATGAATATTAACTCCTTATCAAATACATATTTGGCAAATATTTTATTCCATTCTATAGGTTGCCTTTTCACTCTGTTGTGTCCTTTGATGCACAAAAGTTTTAAATTTTGATTTAATCCAATTTCTCTATTTTTACTTTCGTTGCCTGTGGTTTTGGTTTCATATATAAGAAATCATTGCCAAATCTAATGTCCTAAAGCTTTTCCCTCTACGTTTTCTTTTGTTTTGTAGTTTTAGGTCTTATGATTAGGTTTCTGAGCCACTTTGAGTTAATTTTTGTATATGATGTGAGGCAAGGGTTCAACTTCATTCTTTTGAGTTGGATATCCAGTTTTCCCAATACTATTTGTCAAAAGACTGTCCTCTCAGCATTGAATGGTCTTGCCACTCTTCTCAAAATCATTTGACCATACATGGGAAAGTTTATTTCTGACCTCTTTATACTATTATATTCGTCTATATGTCTTCATACCAATCTGCTGTTTTAATTACTATAGCTTTGTAGTAAAATTTGGAAATAAGAAGTGTAAGCTCTGCAACTTTATTAGTCTTTTTCAAGACTGTTTTGAGATTCCATATGAATTTTAGGATGCAATTTTTCTATTTCTATAAAAAATACCATTGAGATTCTGCTAGGGGTTACATTAAATCTGTGGATTGGTCATCTTAGCAATATTGTCTTCCAATCCATGAACATGAAATGTCTTTTCATTTATTTATTTTCTTTAATTTCTTTCAGTAACATTTTGTAGTGAATATCACATGTATGCAAACCTTTTGCTTCCTTGATTATATTTATTCCAAGTATTTTATTCTTTTGATGATATTTTAAGTGGAATTGTTTTTTAATTTCCTTTTAGAATTATTGTTAGCTATAACAACACAAGATTTTTGTTTGTGATTTTGTATCCTGTAACTTTATTAAATTTATTAGTTCTAACAATTTTTGCGTGTGTGGAATCTTTAGGGTTTTCTACATATAAGATCATATCAAATGCAAACAGATATAATTTTATTTCCTCTTTCTCAATTTAGATCTCTTTTATTTCTATTTCCTGCCTTATTGCTCTGGCTAGAACTTCCAGTAATATGTTGACTAAAAGTGGTAAGAGTGGGTGCTCTTGCTTTATTCCTGATTTTAGAGGAAAAGCCTACTGTCTTTAACCGTTGAATATTACCTCTGGATATTTCATATATAGCCTTTATTATATTGAAAAAAGTTTCCTTCTACTCCTAGTTTGTGTGTGTGTGTGTGTATCATAAAAGGGTGTTGAGTCCTCAAATGCTTTTTCTGCATTGAGATGATCATGTTTTTCTGCATTGAGATGATCAAAGTTTCCTTCTACTCCTAGTTTGTGTGTGTGTGTGTGTATCATAAAAGGGTGTTGAGTCCTCAAATGCTTTTTCTGCATTGAGATGATCAGGGTTTTTCCTAGCATTCTGTTAATTTGGTGTATTTCATTGATTGATTTTTCTATGTTGAACCATCTTGCATTGCAGGAAGAAATCCCACTTGGTTGTGATGTATAATCCTTTTAATGTGCTGTTGAATTCTGTTTGCTAGTGTTTTGTTAAGGGTTTTTGCATGAATAGTCATCAGAAACGTTGGTCTCTAGTTTTCTTTTCTTTTTTTTTTTTTTTTTGTAGTGTCTTTATCTGACTTTGGTATCAGGTAATGCTGGCCTCAGAGAATGAGTTGGGAAGTATTCTCTCCACCTCAATTTTCTGGAAAAATTTATGAGGTGTTGGTATTATTTTTTCCCTTGACCACCATGCTATGTGTTAGCTTGTTATTCTTCATCACTTGGCTTATCATACTTTCTCTCTGCTCTCCTGTGTTCCTGACTTAAATTATTTGCTGCAACTGTATCACCTGTTTCTGATTGCAATATTTCTAGCACCTAACATTTGATTACTCCTTTTGCATGATGATATGTTTTACAAACTCCAAATCTTACTCTTATTATAAGGGGCATAGAGAGAATTTGGTTTGTCTAAAGCCAAATGAAAAGAGTAATTGATAAAGGTGGAAAGGGTGGAGCAGTGGTTCTTCATCTATCACAGTGGTACCAAACCTTTTTGGCACTAGCGACAGTTCTCTTATGAGAGAATCTAATGTCTGATGATCTGAGGTAGAGCTAAGGTGGTGATGCTAGCACTGGGAAGCGGCTGAAAATACAAATGAAGCTTCACTCGCTTGCCTGCCACTCACATCCTGCTGTGCAGCCTGGTTCCTAACAAGCCACAGACCAGTATTGGTCCATGGCCTGGATGTTTAGGGGCCCCTGCTCTATCATATTTACTGTGCCCTTTTAAAATATTTTGAAGTTTCCTTTTATCCCTCTGACATGAAATTCATACATAAAATATTTTAAGAAATATACATGTGAGGGTAAATAAAGGGAAAGCAATTTATAATAACATGCATTTCAATGTGTAAATTCTAGGTCAAACTTCACTAGAAGATATAATAAAGAAGAAGACACATGTTTGCATTTGTACATAGAATTAAAATAAATGTTAATGTTACATATGTAAACTGACACAAATATAGGTTTTTTGTACTAGTACTTCATACTATTAACGACAGTACATTGTTGGTACTATGGTGTTTCAGAATTGTGAAATTTGATGGGAGAAATTCTAAAAAACATTTTTCATTGATTTATATATTTGCATTCCTGGAAACTTCAGTTATGTAATTAAACTAGGCAAAAAAAAAATACTTTGTGTTTATATTTTAAAAGTAGTAAGTTTCTACTTGAATAAACAGATTTATTTTTTTTATTTATTTTTTTTACCTACATGAATGTCTCAAGGGACAGTCAAAATTTATGCAGGATTGGGCCAATTCTTAGTTGTGTGGATTATAGGATGGGCTATCATCTCTTAGCATCCTATACTAAATACCAGTAAATCCTCCCAATGATTGTTACAACCAAAAATGCTTCCACAAATTTCCAAGTGCCATATATGAGGCAGTAATTACCCTCATCATGAATTACTGAGATAAAGTGATGAATAGAAGAAATTTGCTGACAGACTCTTGAGGAGGAGAGATAATGAAATAAAAGTAATGTTGAGGAATATTCTAAAAGCTGTTTTCCAGGTGTGAGGTCCAGGTAAAGAAAGAAAAAAGAAGTTACTTCCTTTTGTTTGTTTGTTTATAGCAGCCATAGCTTATAAAGCATTTTCACATATGTTATATACCTCACATCAGCTGTGAATTTAGTATCTCCACCATTTAACAGATGAGGCAGAGGCAGCTCAGAATTGTTGAGTGATTTACTAAAAGTCATTTTAATGAGGGAGCTAGAGTTGGAGTTCAGATATTGTTTCAAACTCAATGTTATTTTCATTATAGCATAGCAATGCTAGGATGTTGAAGGCAGAAAAAAATTTTTAAGAGGGAAAATCTAAGACCCACAGTAAAGCTAGAATTAGCAGGATTTGAATGGACAGCATTATAATAACTCTTACTAACATTCTGGGAAGAAAGGTGACCAAAGCTTATTGTCAAGCTGAGAATTAATTAATATATCCCCCTTCTTATAGGACATTAATATGCAGCTGGGTGACATAATGCAAAATGTGCAGCGGACAATAAATCGCTACACCTTTGATGAGAACATACACCCTGGAAGGAAAATCTCCCTTACAGAACATAAGAAACGGAGACCATATTTGTTGGAGAAAATAGCTATTTATGCTAATTCTGCTGAAATTAGAGAAAAGACTCTTGTCCACATCTTGGCCTGGTTGGAAGAATGGAGTAAGTTTTCAAAAGTAGTTCAAAGGAAAACCACAGTTAATGAAATGGCTAAAGAACAGAATCTATAAGTAAATTTTGAAGAATTAGAAGATAAAAGAAAAAAAGGCTAAGAAGTTATTCAAAGAACAGCTGTCCTCTGTTCTAGTAAGGATAAAATAAGAAAAATATAGGTTTGCTCACTTAGTGCCGGCTATTCTGGCCTCCTTGTTTTCCTTCACACATGCCAACATGCTCCTGCCTGGTGTCTTTATGCTTACTATTCCCTTGCCTGGAACATTTTCCACCAGGTAGCCACATGGATCATTCTCTGCTTATATCTCACTTAAAAATGAGGTGTTCTCTAACCATCCCCATTCCCTATCCTTTGGCACCGTCCATTATTCTTTACTCTATTTTTGTCTATACCATTTCTTACTATTTGATGTACTATATAATTAATGTTTATTATTATTATTATTTATGCCTATAGCACCTGGTCTTCCTAGGCGGTCTCCCATCCAAGTACTAACCAGGCCCGACCCTGCTTAGTTTCCAAGATCAGACATCGGGCTTGTTCAGGGTGTCATGGCCCTAAACCATGGACTGTGGCTCCACTGGGGCATGAACCCAGGACCTTCTGCATGTAAAGTAGATGTGCTAACTGCTACACTATGGAACCACGTCCATATAATTAATGTTTTTATTTTGATTTTCTGGCTGTCTTACTAGAATGTAAGCAGTATGAAGTCAGGGAATTTATTTTATTCTATGTTGTATCCTCAACATCTAGAATAGTATGTGATAGAGGAGACGTTGGTTGAATGAAACAGTGAATAACCTAAGAATACAAAAAGAAGAATTTAATTTAGTTGCAAGAAATCTCATGTAATGGGGGTTATAAAATGCTAGATAACTTACCAAAGGAGTAAATTAGGGTTTACATTTTAGATACTTACTTCCCTGGAGTCAGGGAACTAAACCAGGTAGTTCCTTGGAGTCAGGGAACTAAATCAGGTAGATACTTTTTAACCTGATTCATGTTTTTATGCCCGAGACTTACTGTTCAGCTTTCTACTCCATGTCCCCTTCTCATTTCTTCATAGAGAAAAGCCTCAGAATAGCAATAAGTGAGATATTTATATTCCTCAACACTACATTGAGTAGTTAGCTAATATTATAAGTCCATATGCTTATAATTATTTATTTTTCTGCACAAAAGTACTTGTTTTACTCTCTTCAAGATGCCATTTTGTCTGAGATGACTGTAATTGATATTGATGAACACCGCCACTGGATAGCACGAATGGAGATTTTACCAGAAACGTTTAGAGCTATTGAGAGCAATGTCAACATACTGAGTAGAATTAGTGCCTATTTGCTCGAAGAAAAGAAGAAACAAAGGAAAAAAACAAGTAAGAATGCTTTAAGACATTGGAAACAGATTTTACTTTTTCTAAAAAACATCTTTATTGAGGTATAATTTACATACAATAAAATTCACCTATAAAGTGTACACTTCAAAGACTTTTAGTAAATTTAGAGTTGTGCAACCATCACTACAATCCAATTTTAGAACATTTGTATCACCCAAAAAAGATCTTTTATGGCCATCTGCAGTCAATATTTATTCCCACCCTCAGCCCCAGACAATAACTAATCTATTTCCTGTCCCAACAGGATATTTCATAAAATCAAATTATATGTGGTCTTTTCTGTCTGGTTTCTTTCATTTTGCATAATGCTTTTGAAATTCAGCCGTATTATAGGATGTATCAGCAGCAGCCATATTGTAGGATGTATCAGTAGTTTCTTCCTTTCTCTTGCCAATTGTATACCACTGTTTGCATATACCACACTTCGTTTACCCATTCACCAGTTCATGGATATTTAGATTTTTTTCCTACTTTTTGGCTTTTTGAATAATGCTGCTATGAACACACATGTATAACTTTTTAAAAAATCTTTTAAGTTTATTGGGGTAACACTGGTTAACAATTATATAATTTTCAGGTATACATTATAATTTGACATCTATATATTCTATTGTATGATTACCACCCCAAAGTCCAGTTTCCTTTAGCTACCATATATTTGATCCCATTTATCCACATCACTCTACCCCTATTCCCTTATATTGAACCCCTTTACTTCGTCTACTTCTCCCCTTCTCCCCCACCCGCTACCCTCTGGTAACCACTAGTCCATTGTTCATGAGTTTATTTGTTTGTCCTGTTCATGTGTTGCTTTTAGGTTTATGGTAACCACCATTGTTCATGAGTTTATTTGTTTGTCCTGTTCATGTGTTGCTTTTAGGTTTATTTCCCACATGTAAGTGATATCATGTGATTTTCAACTCAACTTTTTTTCGCTTAGCATGATTATCTCGAGGTCCATCCATGTTGTCGCAA